CTCAAATCGTCGTAGACTGTTAAATACGCGCATTACTAGACATTTTATCTAGATATGTCTATCGAACCTTTTACTCCGGGTGACAAAAATAGTCGCAGTCATCACAGCACGAAATACCGAGTACGCACAGCGAAAGTTGACATCAATTTTTTTCAGCACGAAATACCGAGTACGCTCAGCGAAAGTTGACATCAAAACAATGCGGATGCTTTTAATGGAAGTGACTCACACAATCATGCTGAACGGATGCGAGGTCTGGGTAGAAACTCTTGAGGCAGCCTGCAGATCAAAGTCTTTACTGAGCGTGTAAAACATAACTTCAGCATTAGTCATCGCAAGTGTGATACCAGTCGATCTATTAACTAGTTGACAAAAGAGAGAACGAGATGTGGCAGACAGACGATTAACTAACTAACTGCGAGACGAGCGTCAGTCTTGTGGAATTCTCTTATGTGGTTTGTAGCCATATAGAGATGATTTTTGGCTGTTTGTAGCATTGCCAGTATTATGTCGTCCGGACCCGAGCTTTTGTATTTCTCAAACGAATCTGCGTGAGGTTATGAATTCTTTCGTAGTTTCCCTGGAAAGTAAGTGTCAACTAGTATTTCTAGTGACTCCTCTATTGTAGCTGTACCATCTGCTCTTTTAATTAGGGTAGAGCTTGTCTGCCCTTTGGTGCTTTGCTTATTTTCTACATGTCCTTAATGCCTTCCAGTGACTCACAGTAGCTCTTCCAGGAATCCTTCGTGGCTTCATATACTTAATTTGTGTATGCTTTTTGTGCTTCGTTGTATGGTTAATATTTCTTGGTTTCATAGCTTGTATTAAAGGACTTCGGCGCTCTTCACCTCATATCCCTCAGTTCCTTTGTCTTCCCCTAACTTCTTCCCAACTTTGGAAGCCTCCCGTGCTGTGTTGCCGTATTTCCCTTTTATATATTGTAACTTTTTGACAAATAATATTATCAAAAAAATTATATTATTAATATTATATTATCAAATATTATCAAAATAATATTATCAATCATTCGTTTCCGAGCTCCCCCAAAGCGTGTGCCTCGCGTTCGCATCGCACCTGATCAGAACGGTCGTCTTCAGTTCAGTAAGTCCCTTCTCCCTGGCGTGGACTAAGGATAGCCCAAGTTTCGCCAATCGTAGCCATACTGAACGTTTTTTCAGACGTGAGTTTCTGTTAAATGTATTGGTTTTTTTTTTAATATCCGAACTGATCGCAGCCAGTAATTAACTTGAGAATAGAGAAGTTTGATAGACTTGATTGGCCTTAATATCCATTTTATTCTTAAAAAAAATAAGCAAGACCAGTTCATGCAATAAAAATATTTATTAAACGGTCATTTTGTAATTGTAAGAAATAAAGAATATAACATTATGAAAACACAAGTAAATTTGTGTCTGTTCACGTCAGGAGGCCCTTCGCGGCGCCGCCACTGCGCACCGAGTTTCCAAAGCTTGGCCGCTCTTGCACTCCCGCAAGTCGGCTCTTCGCGCACGGCTCATCGGGCTAGTCTAAGCGCTCCCGCGCCCACTCTTCGATGTCGAGCCGGATCCGGATATCTTTCCGTCCTTTCACCAGTAGTTCCCGGTGATTTTTCCGCTAGAGATAAGTATATGCTTGCTTCCGTCTTGTTCTTGCTGCCGGTCTTCAACAGTGGGCCGAACATTTAATTTCGGTCGCACCGCTACAAAATTTATTGTTCTGTTCGTGTCAACTCCCCTTCCGAGTTTTCCTGACACCATGGCAGTGAGAAATTCCACTTTCTATTCGCCTCCGAACTTTGAAAATTTCCATCCGTGTCCGTTTTGTGTGCGCCGCCATCCTCCTCGCCGTCTCTTCGATTCCCCGTCGTTCATCCACTTGCCAACGGTCGAGGCCTATGTGCAGCCACATACACACACACGCCTTCTAAACTTGTGCTAATATTTCCGTACAAAAAAAAGTTCTCCGTGAACAGTGAAATAGTGTTACAAAAAGAAATAATTAATATCGGCCAGCCGGTGTGCGTTTGTTGCGGGAATTCACCCTGCTCGCCGAAAAGTCCGCCGCTGTCACGATATTTTCGCTAATTTTTGTGCTGTATCCATACTCATTTTTTCTGTTCGCACAATTCAATACAGTCCACTTCTCGACGCTCCACTGTGCCAATACAAATCCTACATATTTACATACATATATATTGGGCAAGCTTCTCGCTATTCTGGGCTGAGCATCGATCTCCAAGTTATTACATACATATATATACACGCCCGCATAAGGGCATATCAAGTAATTATTTGTCATTTTTTTGGTGTTCTCTTTGTGCCTAGAGCGTGTACAAGCAACTGCACTTACACATTCGACAGCCGAACAGTGCCGACTAGACAAAATCCACCACCTACAATTTTAAAAAGAAATAAATTTCGTAAACCAAGGATTTAAAATTATCCGAATTTTAAAAATCCTATTTTTATTTATATCAATTTACAATACATACATATATATTGGGCAAGCTTCGCGCTATTCTGCGCTGAGCATCGATCTCCAAGCTATTACTATATATACTATTCTAAAATACACAAGAATTTTAATTTCGAATTAAAATTATTCCCATAATTTAATTACGGCCGGTTCCGTCAATCCGTTTGGGAAGATCCCAGTCTGCATCTCCGCGACCCTCTCCGCTTAAATAAAAGTCCACTGCTGTTCGCTCAAGAGCAAACCGCTTTAAATACTAGCCCAGCTCCATCGTCTAGGCTCACTCACTCACTCACGGACGACCACAAAAATGGCTCAAACCGCCATCGACATTGCGTTGAGGAAGTTTATTGCCACATCAGACCGTGTGAGTCAATTCGAGGCAAAGATCCAACCTCTAGATGCCCCAGAAACCACCCAGCCCTCTCCTTTCACGTGTAAAGTGCGTCGCGATCAGATTCGAGTACTGTGGGAAAAGGTCGAAAGGGATTACGATAACGGTTCTGAACTTATATAGGCATCCGGTGAGAGTACCACCATCGGGCTAACGCTCCAGTCCAGATACGAGCATTGTTTCTCGGCCTACGAAAGATGTAGTGCCGACCTCCAAGAGTTGATGGAAAAGGGTGCTTCTCAGTCCGTGCCGATTTCCCCAAACACGTCCGTTCCGGAGTCGGCTGGTTGTCGCCTGCCACCGGTGGACACCGAAACTTTCGCTGGTGACTGTCTTCGGTGGCCCACATTCAGAGACCTTTTTACGGCGGTTTATATTCACAACTCGCGTCTCACCCTGGTGGAGAAATTGTTCCACCTACTATCCAAGAAAACTGGCGAAGCGCACGCCATTGTTTCCAAAGCCCCGCTTACCAATGAGGGGTTCGTCGCAGCTTGGCAAAGCCTCACCGACCGCTTCGAGAACCGGCGGTTGTTATCCCCCAAGAGTCCGGCAGCGCGCTAAGGGAGCTGCAAGGCACTATCCAGAGCGGCATTAGAGATGACCGCCATTCAGGTCGAAGCCTGGGACTGCCTCCTGGTGTACATGGTTTCCACGAAGCTCCCCAAGCTCATGCTCTCTATGTGGGAGCAATCTATCCACAATAAGGACAAAATTCCAACTTGGATCGAGCTAGACGAGTTTCTGACCGAACGCCATCGTACGCTGGAGGCCATCGACGACGTTACGTCTACCAACTCAAGGCATTTTCCGCCAAAGTTGTCGACTCCGAGGGCCCCAGCGCCCCGGCTTAATTTTTCTTACTTCAGAGTGACTCCAACACCCAGAAGTTGTGACCTGTGTTCCACCCCCTGCAAAGATGTCCCCGTTTCCTTAAAATGACCGTAGTCGAGAGATCAAATGTCATCCGAAGAAAGCAACTCTGCTTGAATTGTTTGGCACGAGGCCATCAGCAGCAGGGTTGCCCCAGTGTCCACTCCTGCCTTACATGGCTTACATGCCGCAGACGGCATCACACCCTGCTGCATCCCAGAAACTCTTCCTCCAGTGTTCAGATTGCTGCTGAACCTTCCAGCCAAAGGATATCCGCGTTCTCCACGCGAATCACTTCTCCCAACGCCTTCAATTACTGGGTACCCTACGACATCAAGAGCAGACGTTTCCGAGGTATTTTATCCTACCCATGCCGAGTCTGCAGCGGAATCCATCCGCTTCGAAAATGCCACAAGTTCCTCAGGCTTAGTTCTGAGAAGAGGCTCAGCGCGGTGTCCACCAACCGCTACTGTTCCAACTGTTTGGCCCGCGAACAATCCCAATGCAAGTGCCGCAGAGGTGACCGATGCAAGACGTGCATTCAGAATCACCACACGGTCCTGCATATGCCTGGAAGTCCAGTTTCCGCACCACTCAAACGCTCTGATCAGAGTTCCAATCCAACCGATTCCAAGGTTGCCACCGAACTTCATCCGCTACCGACGTCGACGTCACCTCTAGGATCCTACGCCTCTCCCCGGCCACTCCACGGCCTTCGTCCACCGCTCCACTCCGGTGCGCATAGGCAATTTCCACCGCTAGCCAGGACACCCTGCAGAACGCGGCAGTGCTTATACAGGACGAATATGTTGCAACCCTTCGCGGCGCCGCCTCTGCCCACCGAGTTTCCAAAGCTTGGCCGCTCTTGCACTCCCGCAAGTCGGCTCTTCGCGCACGGCTCATCGGGCTAGTCTAAGCGCTCCCGCGCCCACTCTTCGATGTTCGCGAACGCCCGCTCCCGAGTTCCCGAGCTTCGCTCGCTGCTAGGCGAGCTGAGGGACGGCTAGTTCACGCTCCACTTCTTGGGCCCGCTCTCGCACTGTTAAGCTTAGCTTTTCGGTCGGGAGCGCAGCCCTTACGTTTAAGCTAATTAGTTCTATGTATGATGCGTAATAAAGCGGAACCAATTATTTTGAGCTCCACGACGCCCCCTACTTATCATTTTAACCACTACGTGTTATCATACTTTCCGACTGCGTCGCGGGAGCTATTTTCCAGTACAGGATCTTTAGCGGCAGGATCGCCCCCCTCCTTTTCAGTGTTAGTGATACATTAATTCAATTGTCGCATTTTGTGTTATTCCAGACAACCATTTTCTAGTAAAGTTGCGCAGCTGTAAAAGATCCTCGGTATTAAAGTCATCCATTACAGATTGCATTTGCTCCTTGAGTCCATCGGCTATCGATGTTGTTATGCGGTCCTTAAACAAATTTGTGATTGGACTTAAAATAATGCCAGTCAATTGTCTTATTAAACGATCTTGTTCCAATTGCACCTGGATGTTACTGTTAAAAAATAACAATTGTTAATAAGCTTGAAACAGTGAAGGCTGAATAGATAATTAAAAAAAATTGAGCAAAAAGATGGCCAATTTACTGTTGAATTCTGAAAAGAAAGCGTGGGTTGGCTGAGAAGATAATTTGAAGTCTAGTGTAGTTAGTTTAGGGCGAAGGCGAGAGCGCAATAAAGCTCTCTCGCGCTCATCGCGAATTCGCCTCGCCTTCGCCAACCTTAGCATAAGCTAGGCTAAGCTAAGAAATATATATTACTCGCATACTTTGAATTCGAATCATCATATCATTTTTCGTCCGTGCCAAATTCTTGCCACCACATCTCGGTTTATTTAAAATTTTAATTTTTAATAAACTAATTAAAAAATTCATGGCGACCCCGGGTGGACAAGAATAAAATTGTGCGTTGTGCATCTGCATTGCTTTCAGCCGCTCAGTCTCTCGGATGGAGGCCCGTTCTTCGTCAGTCATATTCGTAATCTTACATCTGTTTGCTTCTGTATTGCGAGTACGACGACCCAAACTCGACTTCTTGGGTGGCATGACTTCGTTTCTTACTGAACCTGAACAAAAAAAATAAAATTTTTATCTCCAATTTCTTCTTTCAATATGTTTTGAATGATTGACAGGAAATGCTTTGATTCAGCTGGCTGCCTGTAAAGGGCGCAGGAGAAGGGGCGCGGGGAACCGCGAAAAAAATTGATATATTCGCAAATGCAGATAAGCTATCAACATCAAAAGTAAACAATAACCGAGCTGGAACCTCAACGCATGTTGTGTAAAAATTTGGGCTTAAACGGTTCAGAACTTTTCAAGTCTATGAAGGAAGTAGACACGAACAGAGCATTTTTATATATATAGATATCACCAATCAGAGGTATTTGTGCAAAAAATTGAAAGCTGGAGTAAAATAAAATAATTGTTTATTATCTTGTGCTGAAATATTGCACCTCGCTTTCAGTTCTTGGCACATACGTATTTATAGTAGAGCAACATTGCATGTTTTATTTATTCAATTATATATTGTCTAAAATTAACATATATACATACATAAAATTGAACCGCACTTGGACGCAACATTTATTTTTGTTATTTAATGTATAATATTGCAATCACTGTCGCCCCCTTCCCCTCCTCTCTCGTTAGAACTCGCTTTAATAGTTGGGAAGTTAATCCAAGCTTGCGCACCAAAACATAAAGCCTTGTGTACTAGCAGCTGCAGCGGTGAACTTTTTCGTTTTCGCTTTCGCTTGTGTGCCAGTGCAGTCGTTGTTGTTGTTGGGCTTTCTTAGTTTGGCGCGCTTAGATTAGCGGACCGCCAAGTGACGCGCTACCCTGTTTTTGTCGGGTATACTCTTCTTCGGTCATTTGATTGGCGGACCGCCAAGTGACGCGCTACCCTGTATTTGTCGGGTATACACTTTTCGGCGTCACTTGCACCCACTATTAATATAGATACTGCGTGACTCGTTTCAATTAAATAAAATATTTGTCAACAAAATAAAAATATTAATTTGTAATATTAATTCATTAATTATTAATATTAAATAATTATTAAATTAAAAAGAATATTTATCTATATATTTTTTTTATTCTTTTAATTGAGTGTTTATTTGATATTATTTTGATATTATTTATATTTGATTCGAAAGCTATAATTAATACTTTCGTCGTCTTTCTGATTTAAACAATAATTCTCGGCCATTATTATCATTCTTGGGAAAATTAATTTAATTAATTCGTAAAATGACCCAGGATACAAAAAATAAATCTCTTCTGGAGGAGTTAAAAAGCAAGCTCCAAAGTAGGGTCAGAACCATTCGCCGATTAAACGAGCGGCTGGAACAGGGTTCGATTCCGATTTTAGAAGAAGAATTGAAATGTCGACTCGAAAACTTAAATGCTTCAATTAACAAGGCAAATCAAATACAAGAACAGATAGAAGAAATAGATAGTGGCGATGAATATGGCGACGAGTTGGAAGAACTTAGCATCGTGACCAAGGCAAAATTAATGTCATTATTACCTGCCATTAGGACAGCAGCCAGCAGCGAAACTCCGGGATCAGCTGCTGTAGCACCAACTCGTGCGCGACTTCCGAATTTGGCATTGTCAAAATTTAGTGAAAATTCTTCGGAATTCAAAAATTTGATTAGCCTTTTCGAAACTTTGGTTCATAAAGACGCCAGCATTCCAGTCATCGAAAAATTTAACCATTTAATTTCATGTCTCTCTGGTGAAGCTTTAGGAACAATTAAAGCTTACCAAGTCACCGAGAGTAATTACGAAAAGGCGATGGCCAGTTTAAAAAAGGTTTACGATAACGAGTGCCTCATCTTTATGAATAATATTTCAACATTGTTTAGTCTTCCAAAAATATCGCATCAATCCGCATCCTCCTTGAGAAATCTTATCGACACTGTTTCGTCGATTTACGGTTCTCTGCTATCGATAGGAGATGATACAAAAATTTCGAACGCAATGTTGATATATTTGGTATTAAATAGAGTCAAGCCAGTGACTAAACAAAAATGGGAGGAACAGCTCGATTATGAGACATTGCCAATTTGGTCCGATTGTGAGAAAATGTTAAATCGCCGATACCAGAATTTATCGGCTGAAGAATCGACAAAACCAAAGCTGGAAAAATTACCGTCAAGCAAATCACATAATCGAAGCTCATTTTCGTGTTCCTCCTCCAACAGCAAGCCTCAGCAAACTTGTAGCTATTGCAATGCAGAAGATCATTCACTACAGAATTGCAGCCCGTTTGGGCGTCTCTCTGTAATACAAAGGTTCGAGTTTGTTAAGTCAGCCTCCTTATGCATCAATTGTCTGCGAAAAGGCCATACTGTGTCAAAAGGCAAAGGAAAAAAGTGTAGAGCTTGTGACCGCTCACATCACATTCTGCTCCACAGATACACAGTGCCTGATAAAAGTGTAGCGTTGCCACCCCTTCAAGAGAATATTTATCCGCTCTTTAACCAAGAGCAGCTTTCCACGTCACATGTTATGCATGCTATGTCATTGGACAGGGTAATCTTGGCTACGTCAATCGTAAGCGTGGGCACAAAAGCGGCGAATACGTGGAATTATTTGGGGACTAGTTAGCCCAGGGATGTTAAAATCACCTAGAACTACTTAATAGCAACAATCCAAAAAACTATAAGAAATCAATTGGGTTGCGTAAAGATGGTTAAAATATATCCGATTTGAATGTCGGAACATTTAATAAAATTCGAACTACCATAGGCAGATAGCAACATTGACAGAAATTCAACAACATTGCATTCCTCGAAACTTTATAATTCCGACGTAAGTCCGGAGGAATCATTAAGAGGACACCACCCTTTCGCTTAATAGGCGATCTATTCGGTGTACAGTACATACATCTGGGAAAACTTCGGAGCTAAGAATTTTCGTCTTAAAATAGGTTTCTGTGAAAACGGTAACCTGATAAATAAATGACAGATTACATTTTCTGAAGTTTAATACGTAAACTGCTTGCATTCTGATAGGAAACACAAATTGAGTTTATGAGTATTTTTGAAAGTGAAAGATAGAAATAGTGGTGAAATTGTGATTGTGCCTTGGAAGATTTATTCCTCTTGTACCGCTTTTTCTTAAGTTTGGGATCCCCAACAACCCGTTTGCTCACCAAATGGAGGCTTTGCAGCAGTCTGGAGTCCCCTTCCTCGAGCAGGGGATGGAGGTAAAAATCAGGAAGAGGAGGGTGGAGGTAGATACTAGTTTTTAAAAGCAAGAGATGAAAATTAGAAAATTCGAAGTCGATATCTCTTGATTCTTTCTTACATGTCCATTACGGTAAAACACATGCTTACTTGTCGTAAGGGCGCTGCGAAGTTGTGGAGCAGTCCGGTCTCCCATGTTGGCAATGGTGGTGACCTACCGTAGAATAGAGGGATTTTTCGCTCAAATTTTGAAATAGTATGGGCTCACTTTATTTAAATTCTAGAGATAAACGCCTCCATGGCTTCTAACTTAGATATAATAATAATTTACATTTTCTTTAGCATTCTGTAAAGGCTGTGCCGAGGGAGACTACTATTGAGTTTTCAAAATCTCGAGATTTTTTTAGAACCCATTTGGTTTACCGGATATAACGACTAAGAAGTCAAGATTGGAACAAGGGAGAGAGAGCTAAGATTAGTAGTGCACCACTGGGAGCTTAAACTAAATTGTGATATAAGACACAATTAATACAAAAAATTTAATTATCGTGAACACACACAAAATTAACTAGATCTTAGGAAAATTTAAATTTTGAAGAATTAAATAACTAAAATGGTAAAATTATGTATTTTAAAAGTATATATAATAAAAATATATATTTTGTTAAATTACGCCTCAATTATAAAAAAAATCACGATCTTATAAAAAAAGTATACATATTCATTAAATATTCTAAGCTTTTTATCTATTGGTTTGTGCAGGAGACTATGTGAACCGCCAGTTGTTACAAAATATCCCGATACTTTGGACTGACCCTATAGAAAATAGAAGACAAACCACTGGGTACTCCATTAGCTAACTCTGTAGCTAACAAACCCAGAGTCTCCGGGTACACGAGTACTTATGATACACTGACCCTTCAGTAATCGTAAATGACTACTCTACATAAGTACTTTCTTAACAGACCCTGTGGAATATACAATGCAAATCAATATACAAAAACAAAACTATTATAAAATACGTAAGCAAAAGCAAAAGCAATAATCTCTTAATTTTTAAGCTAAAAGATATGGATAGATTACTGTCAGATCCAATTGTTATCTGCTGGGGGATACAAACTTCGGCATGGAAAAGTTAGCTTCTTTTGTTATTTTACACACAATACCTGTGCAACTAATAATTTTCTAAAATTTTTAGACGGTGTAGAAGTCTCGCAAAGCCATATCTTTTTGCACACTCTTACAAACTAACATGAAAGGAAGCTATATATATATCCTTGCTGAGAGAACTTCGATTACTAG